TATCGGAGCGAGGCGGGGGGGGTGCGGTGTTTCCCCACCCGCCGCAACGGCCAGACCTGGGGCCAGACCTGGGGCCAGACCTGGTTCCTGCTCGCTCCCAGGGGTGCCGGCAGCCTGCGGAGCCTGTCTCGTTTCTCCTTTTTCCAGCCAAATATGGGCTTTCACAAAAAAATAACACTCCCTGGGCCTGCAAGCTATTGGCTCAGCCCTGGACCTGCTCACAAGTTACTGGCAGCTGCTGGAATGATCCGGGGAGACAAACTCTCCTTAGGCAGAGAAGGATAAAGCAACCAAAATTGGGGAAGCTTTAAAAAACCTTAAATGTGAAAGCGTTATGGTAGTGTTCAGTATAAAAGCTGGCAGGGGGGAGGGGGGGCACCACTCCTCTCCTTACACCATGGGAACGCTCCAGCTGCAGCCCAGCCCTGATTCTGGAATACCACAGGAAGGAGGAAAGGAATCCGCTGCCTTTACAAAGCTGAGGATGCTTTTTATTAGTGTGCTTGGAAAAAAAAAAACAAATCTAGAGTACGTTTTACAGACACGTCCATAAAATCATTTTATAAACAAACCGCCAGCATACAAAACCCTGCGGTGCCTCCTCCCTTGCTCCCTACTAAATGATTGTCTCTGTCGTTAGTCCGTGGGTCAGGGGAGGGGGGAGAGGAGGATAAATAGAAGGGGATGCCCCGTACTCAAACTTTGTTTCCTTCCAAAGTCATATGGAAGAAGTAAACTTCTGCGACCCTCCTTGGTTTACAAAAAGAACGACTGCAGTGTGGACGTGGGGGGAGAGCAACACCTCAGCACCCGAGCCCTGAGCCCCAGCCCTGTGCCCACCTCTGTGCCACCAGAGCCCTGTTATTGCATGTTAAGCGTGTCAGTGCCCCCCTCCATAATGCTTAAAGCTGCAGCTCCTTTCACACCCAGAAAACAACGCCCCAAAAATGCCACTGGAAGCCCTGCGAGGAGAAATAGGCTGTAGAGGAATGTGGAGTCTAAACCCAGCCACATGTTTTCCCCTTCCTAACCTTCACAATGCTCATTCACCCTACCCACAACTTAAACCAGAACAAACAGCATCTCCTCCAGCCCCAGGACTAATCTGGATATATCTCCCAGGCTGTGACTCCATGCAGAGCAACTGCAAGAGCAACAACTGCACTGCTCATTAATTTGTGGTCGAATTTATGGTTTGGAAAACAGCCCTTTAAGGCCCTTCACGGTTCAGCTCAGAAGTAGTTTCATACCTGCAGTACTCAAAGGAAACAAAGAGTTGCCCTGAGGCACTCAAGGAATTTGGCAAGGGTTGAGAGCAGAGGCTGGTGTGCCTGCTGCCCAGAAAGCTGCTTGCCTGTTCTTTCCAGCCCATAGCCCCAGTGCTCCCACCATGCTGTGCTGGGGGAGATTTTCAGAGGCAGCTCTGTCTTGCCTGCTTCTGAGAGTCTCCACCCACCCAGGAGGTGCTGCCGAGCTGCCCGGGCAGGATCAGTCCCCTCCTGCTGTCGTTGTGAGGCTACCAAGGCAGGAACAGGGACCCTGGGTATGGGCACACGGATCTCCCACTGCCTGATCTCTCTGGAGGAAGGAGAGAGCCTCCCCAGCAAGCTCGACTCTTAGTCTGAACCTGAGAAAAGAGCAATCAGCAAGAAGCAAGGGGAGTTTCCCAGCTCACAGGTACTTCTAGCCCTCAGCACTTCCTCTGCTGACAGGGTAAAAAAAAGGAGACTTAGAGAGACAGGTTCTCATCACTTTGCAGACAAAGAAACACTCATGATGATGCAACCTGCCATGATCCCAGAAAAAAATGTGGCAGAGCTGAGAAGGGATCCCCTTTCCTTCCCATCCTGCAGCTAGCAAGTCTGGCAGCTGCAGGAAAGCTGAGGGGTGAGAAGAATCACCACCTTCCACGTTCCTCCTGCCTCCAGGATTCAGGGGAGCAGTAAAGCTCTTCAGCAGATCTTCCTAAGATCTGACTCAGTCAGCATTTGCCAGCCTGAGGAACGCTCCCAGGAGGGTGAGGGCAAAGGAGGAACAACACTGCTGGGCTGGGACTCTCTCACCCTTACAGCCAAAGGAGGGACCCAGCTGAGGACAAACCAGCAGTGCTGCATGAGGCCCAGGAGCAATCCAGCCAGAGCTTTGCCATTTTCCAAATAGGTGGCCAAGGGACAGAGGTCAGCAGCCACTGTCACCCTGCAGACTCCCCCCTCTCACCAAACAGAGGTGGGAGCTTTGGGGTTTGCAGAGATGACCCCAGTGCCACAGGCAGAACTGACCAGCAGCGACACACATCCCGCAGAGCCACAGCAGACACAAGAGTTCATCTCCCCAAGCTCCTGTCCCACCTGTGGTGACAACATGATGGGATGCTGGCCCTCAGTTCTGTCTCCAGCTGCCATAGAGCTGGCTCGGGGACAGCTAAATTCCATAAGCAGATCTGGATCTACTACAGGAGTGCATCTAGGTGTGCCAAAAAAGGAGAGGAAAGGCAGACTGCTCTTCCCAAAGTGCTGAAATTTCACACCACCTCTCTTTTCTTTGCATAAGGAAGATGGAGAAGAAACAAACCCTCGCTCCCTGATCTTCTATCCCTAGGTTAATGGTACCCTTTAAGCAAAGGGGAGTTTCATAAAGGGCAAAATTTTAATATTAAAGCAGGTGGCTTCAGCCCTTTCCCCGGGGTCTGTTAGTGGTAAGACAAACAGCAGGCTCCAGCCTGGGAAGAGGCTCAGAGGGAGAAGGTCTGTGTCCTGCCCGAGGTGGTCACTCTGTGCTGAGCATGGGCATCACGCTCCATCTGCGTGCAGCAGCCTTACACAGAGCCCCCTGGGCCTCTGGTTTGGCAGCAATTTGCTGCCTAGGGGAAGAAGATGGAAACCCTAAAGCTGAACAGTGCACTGAACAGACCTACCGACATCATCCCCCCCGTACGCCGAGAAGTAATGCTCTAGGTTATTGCATAGAAGGTGGCTTGCACTAGCTAGACCTAAATGACAGTCTGGGAGTGCTGCCGGAGGCTCGGGGGCTTCAGAGAGCTGCTGGAAGCAGATGCAGGCTCCTGCAGTGGTGCCTGAGATTCCTCTTTTCGGGAATGCTCCTCATACCATTCCTGCAAGAGCAGATCAAAGGCACCGAGATCAGGCTCTGCCCCACACCCAGCCCCCCAGCAGGACCCCCCACCCAAGGGCAGAGCCTTTGGCTGCTCTCCCACAGAGAACATGCTTGCTCAGGCACAGTGGGGCTCCTTCCAAAGCCCTGGGTACAGCCTAAGCTCCTGGAAGAGCCTGGTTAACTGCAGCTTGGCTGTGACAGACCCACCCACAGCCTGAGCGAGAAGCACCAGCCACGGCTCAGCTACAGCTGCCAGAAGGGACCAGCCTGGCCAGGGAAACATCCCCCCTCTCAGCACGTCCCTCCTGAACGTCTAGGACTCTAGAATGGATGTCCTTGTGACGTTTGGGATGTGCAGAGCTGCTCCCAACCCTGTGCAGAGCCCAGGGTGTTACAGGATGCTACCCCTCTGAATCAGAGAGCGAGCAGAACAGGCAGGGAGCTGCTCTGCACATTTCCACCCAGCTCCAAGGTAAATAACATGTTGATTTTTGTTAGGGGGACCAAAGACTCCTCCCCAAGCTGGCTGCCCAAGGGACAAAGGACAGGCTCAAATGGTTACGAGATTAATTCCTTCAGCACTAATCATTACATTAGCCCGTGACTTTCAACCTGGAGGTGAACATCCAGCAGGCAATACACTGCTCCAGCACAACCCCATTCCTCTGGCTTCGATCAGTGTCCAGCAGCCAAGCCCCAGGAATGAACCAGGCACGTGCTCAGAGCCCCAGCACACGGGTCCCCTCACCAGCCAACACACACTACTCTGCCTGGCACCCAGACCCACCGAGGAGCCTCCAACGTCCCCTGTGGCCTCTGGAAGTCCCTGAGTGCCAGAATGGATGAAGTGGTGTGCCCAGGAGGCCAAGAGGGCCACCAGCACCCTGGCTTGGATCAGCACTGGCATGGCCAGCAGGACTAGGGCAGGGATTGTCCCTCTGAACTGGGCACTGGGGAGGCTGCACCTTGAATCCTGGGGTCAGTTTTGGGCCCCTTGCTCCAAGAAGGGCCTTGAGGTGCTGGAGTGTGGCCAGAGAAGGGCAACGAAGCTGCTGGGGAAGGGTCTAGAGCCCAAGTGTGGTGAGGAGCAGCTGAGGGACCTGGGGGTGCTGAGCCTGGAGAAAAGGAGGCTCAGGGGAGACCTTCTGGCTCTGACACCTCCTGACAGGAGCCTGGACCCGGGGGGGGTCAGGCTCTTCTCCCAGGGAATAAGCAATAGATGAAGAGGAAACAGCCTCAGGTTGTGCCAGGGGAGGTTTAGAGTGGACATTATGAAAAATTTCTTCGCCAAAAGGGCTGCCAAGGCCTGACCCAGGCTGCCCAGGGCAGCAGTGGTGGAGTCCCCATCCCTGGAGGGGTTTCCAAGTCGTGGAGATGTGGTGCTGAGGGACAGGGGTCAGTGGGGACCTGTCAGTGCTGGGGGATGGTTGGACTCCATGACCTTAAAGGTCTCTTCCAACCAGAATTACTCTATGATTCTATGATCTAACTCACACTTCACCTACTGTCCAACCCTTCTCACAGAGCACACGCCTGCCTGGGTCTCAGAGGAAGGTCTCCAGTGTTTCAGGGGATAGTTTTGTTTTATTCTAGGCAATGCTCTGCTCACCACAGAGACTCATTGGTATTTCCAACTCTGGTCCACATACCTGTATCTCCTCCTCGTACATCTTCATGCTCAAATCACTCTTGGTCCTTGATCTGCGTCCCAGAAACACTGTTGACATTTGCTGAACAATTGGTGGAAGGAGGAGAAAAAAACAAAAGACATTCATCAGCAATTGAGCAGCTCCCAGGATCAGTCCTTGAGACTTATAGAATCATTAAGGTTAGAAAAGACCTCTAAGATCATCAAGTCCAACTGTCATGCCAACATTACCATGACCACTAAACCATGTCCCAAAGTGGCTTAGGGCATCCTTCATGCAGACACTCATCCCCCACTGATGAGCTTGGGCTCCTTCTTTTGTAAGAAAAAGGCATTTTGGGGTGCACACCACCTAAACAAAGGCAGGCACCTACTGCAGGCTGAGACAAGTCACACTGAACAGGTTCCCAAAGACTAATGAGGGAGCTGCAGCTTGGACAGATGCCTCTGTTGGTGGTGCTTCATTTAGTCAGATGAACAAGCCTGGAACAAGGCCCAAACCCAAGCTTCTAGATAAGATCTCATTTGAACAGAGTTTCAGCTCCCACCTGTCTTCACCATATCATTTACTCTATGGGCCTGAACTTCTTAAATTGTGTAGGCAGAGAGATGAAGTCTGCATTACTCTCATGACCACATGAGTTACACGAACAGGATTGAGAAGAAATTGAGAACCTAAGATTTGGCATCATCATTCTGTACTCCACCACAAGGCTGAGGGCAGCATCCTGCTCTGGGTTATTTCCTTGAGAACTGCTCCTGATCAGTCTCATCATTGCTTCTCTGAATTTTGTCTGTGTGAACAAGAGCTCAGACTAACTACCAAGCCAACCAAAGCAAATAAAGGTCATCTAAGAGACTGTGGCACCAGCACTTTGTAGTGGTGATACAAGAATATAATGGCTATTATTAACACAGCCACTTAAGCTCTTCCCAGATGCATGAGGCAAGAGTTCTGAGGCAACAGCAATTACCTAGCTCAGCTCATTTTTCCAATTGTCTGTCTTATTTTAGAATGAAAATGTGGGCAGTGCTGTGAAGAAAAGAATCCTGCTGTCTGGAACTGATGCCATCATATTGCTGTGTCATGTGTCAAGACTGACGACCCTCCGTGTACGATGGCACAGAGAGAGGCAGGAGAATCACAAGGCAGTGACTTGGTCTGAGAAAAAAAAAAAAAATCTATTTTTTCCAGTCAATTCTGGGCCAGGACAGCTCTAAGCCACGTTTGCAGGCAACAGCCACGAGCCTTTCTCAAGGCTGTTCAGAGTGCAGGGGACATTCAGCTGCTGCTTTTCTAGAGCAGCACAACTTGGTGCCGATGCTGCAGAGTCCCTCCAGTAGCTCAGCTCTCAACACCACAAAAAGAAAAGACCTCTGCCAGGGTACCTGTGGCCCTGGCATGCCTCCCTCCCCTGAAGCTGAGAGCTTCCAGGAAGCTGTCTCTCTTACCCCATATTTGTCCATCTGCAGAACCATCTTCTGCAGCTGAGCGGTTTCAGCGGTAGCTGAACTCCGCCTGTACAGCTCGATGATGCCCACCACTTCCTCCTTGGAGATCTCCTTCTCCAGCACAATGCCATTGTCTTCTGCAGGGGCAAGAAAAAGAAAGAGGGGAAAAGAGAGACTCCAAGATGAACGTTGCTTCATCAGCCACTATGAGAAGGCTGGAAGGCAAAGCTTAACAGCACACGGGACCAAGCTGAGATGTTAGATGCTTTTGAGACTAGAACAGCCATGGCCTTGTCCTTCAGCAAGGCAGGGAAGAAGTTAACTAGTGCAGAGGGTCAGCAAGAATCTCAGCTTTTCAAAACATCAGGCTCTTAAAAAAAAAAAAAAGTCTTCTACCTTTTTGCTTGCCTGTGCATTACCTAGCAAAGCAAATAACCACAGAGGAATTGCTGCCTTTTGACCTTCAGCTGCCCAACACAGCTCAGGAGTTCAGTGCTAACCCTTCCAGCTGGGTGCAGGAGGGGTCAAGATGAAAAGTGTTTCTATAACAAACAACCCTGGCTCTCCCAGGAGCCTGCACTGTGATCTTGGGGCACTTATGAAAGAGGAGGGACTGATCAAAGCTGCACCCATGGCTGGGGACTTCACCATGTTCCCCCAGGGAAGATTTGCTGATATTAAATGTGTGAGTGTCATAGCTACATCTCCTTCCTGCAGTAAAGTGTAAAGAATTATTGAGGTTAGTTTGAGACTGAGTAGAAAGGTCTGGGTGTAGATCACCTAAAGGTACAGCAGGAGAAGGGCTACATGAGACTGATGTGTTTCTGGCTCTGAAATTAGCAGGTCATGGAGTTACATGCAGTTACAGCCACCCAGCTCAGGAGACAAAGGACAGTGAGTGAAATGATGTCTCACAGGGGTGAGGGGATGGACACAAATCACTCTCAGTTCCTAAAGGGTACAGAAAGGCCTGTCCAAAGCCAGCATGGAGTCACCAGCCTAAGTACAGCTAGGAGATGTGGAAAGAACTAGGGAGGCAGCTGCACCTATTGCCCTCCTTGAAATGGCTCAAGTAGTTGAAATTTATGTGTGCATGTAAACACGTCCACACACAGAGATATAAAAACCTACCTACACAGGCATACACTTTTTGGGGAGTGCTTGGGGAGGGACAAGGGGCAGAGCAGAAAGGAGAGTAGAAATACCACAAAAATAAAAGCTTAAGAATGAGCTTAGGAAGTCAGACTGAAAAATAAAAAGTCTGGTCTTTGCTGGCCAATCCCTCCTACAGACATCAGACAGCAGGGAGACAAAAGGTGATTTTTTAAGCCAACAAATCCTCAGTTCTGACCTTCTGAATCTTGGTTCTTCCGAGTGTAGTTCATGCGGAAGACAAAAGCGTCCAGAATAAAAGCCACGATGATGGTCATCACCACCTGGGGGAGGACATGGACAGGAGGGCTCAGGAGGCTGCTGCTGGGGGCTTCTTCCAGCCCAGTTCAACAGGTAGCTGAGCCTCGGGTCTGTGCTTCAGCTCTATGCTCCCCAGCTCCTCCATGGCAGAGGGGATGCCCACGTCACACGTCTACCTGTGAGCAAACTGATAACAGTCAACCACAACAGGGACAGAGCAAAACTCTTGGGCTGCCCTTGTCCTTACCCCAGGCCCAGATTTGTGCAGCACCAGCTTTATCAGTGGCCATAAATTCACCTTTCTGCAAGTGGTGTGAGTTCACACCTGGTTCTGGAAGGCATTCATGTAGAAGAGCAAAGTTGTCCTCATTTAGAGATGGAAGCTCCCTCTGGAACACAGTAAAACCCATCTCCCCTCCTCACCCCCACTATTTGATGCACAAAGCATGTCCAGAAACCTACCATGGTCACAATATAGAAGATCATGAAGTAAAGACGGCTCCAGTGAGTGGTTTGGGATGTCACCCCTTCCTAAAGAGGAGAGGGAAGAAGTCACTAGTGCAGAAAAGAAGGGAGTGTCTGCTGTTAACTGCTTGCCAACAGATATAAAGCAGGATCAACACTCTCTGTCTCTCACTCATGGCTCCACAGTTAGCCCCAGGGATGGCCTGAGCACTGTTCAATGCCTCAATTGGTCCTTGCAGCTAATCTGCTTCTCAAACTAAAAAAAGAGGTCCCTATCTGCAAACACACAGAATATGTAAAGCTTTCAGCTGGAAGAGCTGTTGCTGCTATGGGAACATAGCTTGGGGGACAAACTGGACTACAGAGTGACTTCGTTTGTCCAGCTTGTGAAACCTGGCCTGAAGGCTGGTGGAGATTCCCAAGAAAACAGACCCAGCAGCACGACAGAGGTCAGTGCCACCCAGCGATCAGGACCAAAAAACATCTGGCAACAACCAGGGACAACGTTGGGCCCGTGTCAGATCACCAGGGAAAGAAGGAAATGGTGGCATGGATGATGTAGCTCAACCAGCAAAGACCCTGTGCTGTCTAGACAGAGGAGGGAGCAGAGGTTTACTCACCATGATGATGTACCAGTCATTGACAACGGTCAGCTCAAACAGTGTGACTGTACACAAGTGGGAGAAAAAAGACAATTGTTTCACCCATCCATACTTCAGGGGGCTTCTTAGACAAAGTATTTGACAGGGAAGACTGATGCAAGGCACCAGAGTTTCAATCTGGAGACAGAATGCAGACCTTCATCACTGCAATTACTTCACACAAAAGGTGTTGGCCCACAGAACCAGGGGCATGGCTTAATATATAGGTCTTAAAAGAATCAGACAGACCTGACTCTTTCCACCAGAGAGCAAGGAGATCTCTGAAATCTCCAGGAGATAGGCAGCTCTGCTCACACATTAAGGAAAATGACAGAGAGTAATCAACACATTCAAATTGTCCTTCATCAGTGAGTTTAAAGAAATGTATTGGCATCACTGCTCATCCTTTAGAAGGGTAGTGACTTAAAGCCCTCCTTAAACATCTCAGGAAGCCGGGTCTCACCACCAGTCAGAACAGATCTGCTGGCCTCACGCTGACTTTTAAAAGATGTCTGCTTATCCTGCAACTGTCACAGCACAGTCAGTCAGCTGGAGTTCTCCAGGCAGAAAGAGCAGGGTGCTGAGTGTTTGAGGGGCATTAGGAGGCCTCAACGGGAGAGTCCCAGGCTTACATGGGCACTACACTCCTGCCATCCAGCTCTGCAGGAGCACAGATGGACTAAGGAATCATCTTTGCTATGGACAAACCTGCCCTTACCAAAGCTGTTCAAGATGTTGTCGAAGTTGTTGAGATAGTAATAACCTTCCTCCACCACTGTCTTGTTGCCAACTGTACGATTGACCCAGCGGTAGGAGTCGGCGACTGTGCTGGTGCTGGTGGGAGAAACCAGACAGAGAATGAGAAGAGAACTGGGAAAGCAAGGAAAATCTCAAGGGCTACACAAACCACAACACTTAGAAGGTGGCGAGGAGGGTGGCAGTTTGTCTCTTGGCCAACACTTGCCTTTTCCTCTTCATGAAAGCCTCTATCCTTCACAGTTCAGCACAAGCCCAGGGAGCACATGGAGCCTTTCTAATCACTCAGCAAATACATCAGAGAAACTGAGTGTTTGAGTTAGGCCCCTTGGCTCACACTCTCAAAGCTTGGCATTTCCAAGTGGTCTGCCACGGTTTAAGACGAAAAGGGTACAGGGCAGCTTAGCTTCCTAGACCAGGTGCATTCATCATGGTACAAAGAGAGGCCACGTTTCCAGCCACAGCACCATGAAGAAGCTCTCCCAGTGCAGCTACCTGAGGCAAGTTACAGAGCTCCCTAAAACCAGCCAAGCCTACCACAGAAACCTCTCCCTTCCCAAAGGCAATCCAAAAGCCATTCCACCCAACCTTCGCTACAGAAGCGAAGGGTCTCCTGGATTTTCACAGCACGTTGCCTTAGCTGCAGAAGCCCATCCAGACCCATCCTCTGGTCATTTCTCCACAGGGGGACAGCTGCCAGAGCTCCCTGCTGCTGGCTGTGCACCAAAACCACTGCAGAGGGGGGGTGGATTTCTGGTACTCACTTGCAGCAGTTCGGGTAGACCACGCCAGCAAAGAACTCCATGCCAACAATGGCAAAGCAATAGTAGAAGATCAACAGGGTCAAACCCAGGCTGGAGGCAAGAACAGAGAGAGTATTGTGCTACCAAAGAGCTGCTAGGGCAGGGAAAGACAAAGTCACAGGCGGGTTGCTCTGGAAGGAATTTCCAACGGATGGGAAGCAGGACTGAAAACCCCAGACCACTCTCCCTGCCACTGTGGCTCTGCAGTTCTGTGCCTGCTCTCATTCAAGAAGTCCTTGGACAAGGAGCTGGCCACTCACTAAGAGGACTAAAGAGTAGCCTGGATTCCCTCCCAGCCTGCCTTTCACTGGTAAACAAATGCCTCTCCACAGTTTCTTTAATGAAGAACAACAGACACTGTCTCTGCCCTCTCCATGTCCTTGGATGCAGGGACTGTGCCAAGAGCAGGGCTCTCGAGCTCCCATGCTCTGCTCAGACCTCCCTCAAAGGGAGAAGGTTCGAGGATGCCCCACTCAAACACCAAGCTCCTTCTGCCCCACTGTCTCACAATAATGCTCTCAAGTGGCTGTCCTAAGGGCAGGGAAACATCTGGGGCTGAGTATATTCACCCAAATGGGCTTCCTCTCCCACCAAAAGGTGGGGTGGGGGAAAAAAAAAAAAGAAACAAGCATCAGCTCTTAGTTATCCTCCTAACACAAAAGCAGGAGGAGGCCCAAGGTGCTGGCTGGGGTGTTGCTAATCATGTCCTGCTCCAAGAAGTTGTTAGATTAACACCTCCCTGCAGCACCAGCAACAGATCAGAGCATAAACACCTTTATCAGGTTTGACAGGTCCCTGTCCTGACCTCAGTCCTAGACACTAAACCTTCACTCCAGCATCACCCAAAGGGAAGTTAGTACCTGGCCATCCGGGGGAACAGCTCAAACATAGTGTCCAGGACATTTCTGTAACGTTTCTTCAGTTTAAACAGCCTGAAAGGAGAAGCCAGTAGTTACCTACCCACTGCAGCTTCCCTGGTGGTGTTGGAGATAGCTGAAGAGAGTATCACAGGTCTCTGTGCCTCCCAGGTCAGTGAGCACTAAGGTTTCTGACACCAAACTCACAGGATCTGCTCTTGCCCAGGTGGTCTCATCTCACCTAGGAATGTCTGCTGTCCCCTTGGCATGTTTATGACACATTCAGCTAAATGTTTGCAGGACTGAGAGTCTCATGCAAAAGTCTGGGTTTTTTTTAAACAGCATGATGTACAAATAGCATTTTTTTTTAAAAAAAAAAAGAAAAATCTTAAGAACTGAAACCAGCCCTGTGTGCAGGGTTAGAATTCATTCCTCCTTCCCTGAGAAACAAGCTTTTCTGTGTTTCCCCTATGACCCAACAAAAATTGATGAAAGAAAACTACATTGTGCCTGCTAATTTAAGATTTGGCAACTCCATCAGCCTTTACAGAGAAACAGAGCTGCCAAACACAGGCTTTGGCAGGGGAGAAACAGAGAAAACATTTTTTTCCCCCCCTTGAGTGTCATAAAGCATTCTTTAAATCCTCACTGAAGAGCTGAATTACAGTAGCTTGTTTGTAACAAACCAAGATTTTGCCTCAAACACCTTCCCCTACGTCTCTCAAAGTGTTCTGAGAAGGTGGCTGGACCTCTGTACCAGCCCTGAAACGAGAGGGTTAATCAGACTCATCTTACTGAGCTGCAGAGAGGTTACAGGCTGCAGCCTCACTTAAAGTGTGAGCTGCAGCTAGAGCAGGGTTGTACTTCAACCCTAGAAAGCAGCATCCTTCAAAAACTGTAATTTCTGGTAATTCAATGGAAATTATTAAACTGGCTCAGACAGTCTCACCCTGACAGAAGAGCTTTTCTCTGAACAGCATCAGACAATTTAGAGGAGGTGTAAGAACCCCATGAAGGCAGACACAGGATAATCTGCCCCCAGTAAATCCCCTGATCTCTATTAGAGATCAGCTTAAGCTCCAAAGCACGGGGTTTCAGATCCCAGCCCAAGTTTTTGTTATCATTCATTTTGATAACTCTGGCTAATCTCATTACCCCCCCGTTTGCCATGGTCATGTACCCACAGAGCAGTCCTTGCCCTCTCCTGGTAAGGAGCTGGGTCTCTGAGTGGATTGATGGAAAACCAGCCTGGTTGTTTTCTCTCTGCATCCCCCCCTCCACTTCCACAGCCTTCCTGTCTCACCTCAGCAGCTGAAGTGGTCGCAAGACCACGATGAAGTAGAATGGCTCCATGTTAAATGCCAGTGCCATGAGCCCCAAAAATGCAAACAGGGTAACTGAGAAGTCAAAGCTGGAAAGAAGCAAAAAAAAAAGAATAAAGTAAGAGCAATCATTTATCACTAGTGTTTCAGCAGGGAAGAGGTACTTGGTGCTACTCCAGCCTAGGATGCACAAGGCCAAGGGCAGAAGAATAGAAGAATTAGAATAACATTGTCTAGAGCCCTAAAAACTCATCTCAGAAGTCAGGCTGTCTAACCCAATAAACTTCACCTCCTCTCCCTCAAAAACATCAGTGTACACTTACAGATTCCAGCCTGAGGACAGGTACTCGACAGGCCCCAGTCCAGTGGTCTTCAGGAGCAGCTCCACACCATAGACTGTAAGAGATGACAGCCATGGTCAGAAACAAGCAGCATCACAAGGAGGGCTCATGCAAAGATTTGCTCTCAAAGGGGCGTGGTGCTTTCAGTACAGGACTTCTAAACATGGGTTTAACAGACCCTTACCCATCCTCCTTATTCTCAGTGAGGTGCCAGAAAGACTTTTTCCCTTCCAATCGACACATTTTCCTGTATTCATGGCTATTTCTCTCCAGAGAACACTTAGTTGGCTAACACACTGCAAATGCTGATGCACAAGCTCCTGTAGGAAAGGCCAGAGAGCAGGGCAGGGAATTCAGTCCTGCCTGTTTATTTCCCTCTATCTCAGTGGAACATATCCATGTCGCACAGCCTAGTCCTGACCTGCAGGGAGACACCCTTTCAAGGGAGAGCCAGCTACTTCCACCCTCTGTCCTGGCAGCACCTTGTGGGCCTGTGGGTTAAAGAACACCAGAACAACATAATGATGCCCTGTTTCTCATCCCAAAAAATCTCTTTCCAGCTTCCAAGGAGGGGAGGTGGGAGGGAAGTGAAGAGAAGAGCTGGATGGCAACATCCTTGTGAAGAGAAGCATTGCAGAGTGCCTCTGCTTTCAAACTTTCTTAACAAGTGTTTTAAAGACTAATGACCAGGGAAGCACCAGAGCTACCTGGAAGTCAAACAAGTTATCGACCTTTCCTAGAACCTCCAAAGAACCTCCTGCTGCAGTTTTACACAGTGTTTTGATTCAGTGGAGCTTTGCTTTGCTTCTCCTCAGGCAAGAGACACTGGCAGGAGAAGTGAAGTTACATCACTACAGCAGTGTAATGAACCAGCACAGGAAGATGCAACTGCTTATACCTGGGCTGAAAAGGAAGACTAAGGTACACGTTCATGGAGGGGCTGATGTTCAATTAGAAAACTCAGCTCATCAGCTAGTTCATCGAGTCCTCCCAGCCTTCTCAGCATGGCCCTGCACTGTGTACTCCACCAGGGCTGCCCTCTGTTGTGTGGCAGAGAGCCAGCTCCCAGCTGCAACCAGCTCAGAGCTTTAATGCCTCCTGGAGCAGTTAGTGCAGCACAGAGCAGCACGAACAACTCCACACAGAGGCACCACGAGGCTGCAGTGGAGGAGCTTATCCCTTTGCATGCTGTGCCTAACCAATGAGGCCATTCTGCTCTTGGGGCTGTGTGGATGCTGACAGTCCCTCCCAGGCACAGCCTTGTTCTTGGTAGGTTCTGTACACCTGGGGCTGAGTTTTAGCTTCAAACTGAGTAATCTTCTGGGAACAGAGCTGTCTGTTCTCCTCCCAACTCCTTATGAAATGACACAGCTCTGCTGGGAAGCATCAGCTTACTTGTGAGGAAGACTATGTAGCTCCACGGGACATTTCTGGAGAAGAAATTCCCTCCTGCAAGACACAAGAAGAACTTTTTCTAGCCCTTCCTTTTTTCAATCCCCCAGCACCACGCTCAAGAGACAAGCCACGATGTTTCCTACCTTGCAGCATGAAGGTTTCAACAAGAATCCAAATTCCATTCACAGCCACCACAGTATCTGGAAAATAAAGTAAAACCCCATAGCAAAACCACTCCTGGACCAGAGGACATCCATTTCCTAGGCTGACAAAAGGAGTACAATACAGGACAAGTGGCAGGGTTGTTTTTTCCCACTCAACAAACTCAACTGGTAACTTGGGAGTCTTCTACCCTGACTCTTCCCAGGCCTTTGACAGATGCAGTAACTTTTGTTTCCTTCTGAAGATAAACTGAAACAAAACAATGGTCTGAACCACACTCAGTTATTTTACTCCTAAGTATCTTAATTCAGCCATGTTATCACTTGAGTATTTCAGCTTCATCCTAGTTCTGGAACAAGATCTCCAGAACCAGTGGACCACCAAGCCAACAGCCTTGGATCTATCACTGCTTCCCAGCCCTCAGCTTCAGAGAACTGAAGGTGCAGGACCTCTCCTTTTCACACAGATCTCCTCACTCCATCCCACCTTCTTTAGTTTTGCATCCCAGTTTACAAAAAACTCCTCCAACATTCAAAACCCCCCAAACTGCTGTGCAGGAGCAGGTTTTTAGAACACATCAAGCAGCACCATGAGTAAGTGCTCTCTCTCCTCTAGAGAAGAGGAGCACAGAGCCATTCTTGCAGGAAGCACAGTTGCCAAGCAATCTCTCCAGCAACAAGGATGCTCACAGCTTCTCAAGTGCCAAGAGAAGAAGGTGGCTGACTGGCAAGGCAGTCCCTTACCCAGCATCTTTCAGCTGCACAATAAAACCTGGAGGCTTCTGAACCCCCAAAATTTGTACCTGAGCCATGGCTCAGACCAAAGACTAGGTGCCACCATGCTAAGTCCTTGCAAGGGCTGGCAGACCCACCTGAGCAAGGGACCTAGCAGAGGGACAGCCCCTTACTTGTACTCACACATGGTGTACTGGAACGTGCGGGACTTCACCAGGATGTTGATACCTGCATGAAGCAAAGTGTGATAAAACAAATGTGTATGCAATCCTCACAGACAGACCCCTCTATCTGCTCCTTAGAGACATTTCTCATACCAATCCTCAGCACAGAACCTAAGCACATTAGCAGGTTATTAACTTTTACTCCTTGAGACCGAGTTCTCATTTCCTCCAGAACTTTAGCAGCAATGAATTCAGTATCCTTAAACTCCAAGATGCCTTTTTTTCCCCACCTAGGTGCCAGTTTTGTTGTACAGAGGTAAGTGCAGCTGCTGAAGCACTGCTCATGTTTGAAACAACACATATGTTGTCAAGGAGGGTTGAGTAGAGACATGCACAACTCCTGTGGCAGCTCTGTGTTTGCTGTTTCCCACTGGAAAAGAATTGCAGGCAAGTTCTTGTTTCTGAATGGTTACATTCAGTCAGGAAACTTGGACATGGGAGATAAATTGCTTTTGCAACACAGATTACCCTGGTGGTTATCTCAGTCCTCTTCCCCCTTCCCGAGCAGCTGCACGAGTGCTGCAACCGCATCCTGGGACTAGGAAGCCAAGCAGCTTTTGTGAAAACACAAATCCCACTCCACAGTCACTGCTGTGAGTTGCTGGGACATGGAGAAACACTATAAACTCTATGAGGTTCAGCAATCATAAATGCCCCCTTGACCTCTGTGCTGAAACAGCAATACAACCCTTCATGACCTCAGGGTCTGGTTTGCTACAGAGCTTCTGGCAAGAAATCTCTTATTTTAAGGAAGGCAGGGTTTAGGTCAGAGTACAGGGAATATTTACATGACAGAAATCTTCCTTGGAGACTCTGGACACAAGGCTCTGGCCTTGGATGTTCTGAATACACAGAGAGGTGGTCAGCAGGTCTTCCCTCAGCTGTTTACCAGGGACATAAGAGAAGGTCCCTTCAGAGGGCCTTGTCTTTACAAAAAAATGCTCCTCCTGTTAGCAGAACACATGCTGCCATGAAAACACAGCCTGTTACCTTTAAAAATAAGGAATGCTGTCCGTGGAAGGTCATCAAACCAGTGCTCACGATTTCGCTTGGCCTGGAAGCAGAAGAGCCACAGTCAGTCCTCAGTGCCATGCCCATACAAAAGTGTGAAGTGATGGACACCTACCTTATCCCCACCACCTGCTTCCTTCAGGTTGCCTTTGGTTCTTACCCACCTTCTCTCTCATCACTGGCCTCCTTTGCCCTCCCTCCCACATGCACTTCCCCACTCAAGAAACACTCACCTTCCATTTTAAGCCAACAACTTCATAGAAATTGTAAAAATCCTTTAGACTGCAAAACAGAAAGAAACATCTGATCAGTGCCTTGGAGTTGATTAGATCCTTAATGGTCTTTGTTAGGCACCATCAGCAGAGGGTCCCTGGAAGTCACTAACTCCTTATTAGAACTGCAACCACAGCTGATATAACTCAACACTGACCCCTTCCCTGCCAGCCAAGGGTTGCTGATGGACCATGGCCAGGACAGGGTGCAAAGCCCACCTTCCTTCTGTAACACTACAGCCCCCAGAGGAAACTCTGAGCCTAGAGAACTCCAGAAGTTTACCACCTTAGCTAGCAAATCCCAAGAGACAGAGATTGTGCTACTCTTCATGAAAAGGTCTTGGACTGTCCTAATTACTTGTACAGTCCTTTTTTTAACACCTTTGTACGTTTGTTTTCCAAGGCAACAATGAAATTTGGAAAATGACACGAAAGCAAAGAAACTCATAAAACACAAATGCCTGTCTAGGTGCTCAGGGTCAGGCCTGTAACAGCTTCAGGTGTCTGATAGTGAGGATGCTGAACTCTTCAGACTCTTCTGGGTCTCTTTAGGTGCCTAAACTTAAAAACTCAGCCTTTGCCCCTATGCCATTTTCAACACTTCTTTTTGGCACTTGACATTAAGGAGAAGCCTCAGCCTCTGTTTCATGGAAGATTCACTCCAAGCCTGCCTGTGGCCAGAACAAAGGAAAAGGAAGAAGAGGTCTCCTGCTCTAATTCTCTCTACTTCCATGCTGGCTGGAGTTAGAGGTACCCACCCACCAGAATGGTAATTCTCTGCCTCATAACACAGAGGATGACAGTCCTGAAAGCACCAGCAGAATCCTATTTTAATTAACAAAACCCTGGGGGACACAGCCAGCTGCTGGAAAAACCCAAAAACTTGTTAGGCTGCACTGTGTGAAGAAAAGCTCCTTGCAGGCTCTGATGCTGTTCCTCAATTTCTTGCTCCTCTGTTCTGGCAGGGGAGGTGGAAGCAGCGTGCCTGGTTCCCCTGGTGCCTGCCAGCAGAGCTCTGTATCCACAAGAGGGCACGCAGGAACTCCACCACCTCCGAAGGAAAGCCTCAGCTCTCAGGGTACCCACCCCTCCAAGTTCCCTGCTTCCCAGCCAAATCCTTTCCTCTATTCCCACATTTCAGACATTCCTCCTGTAAACCCCTGTGACGTACAGCTTAGCTTCAGAGAGCAGCAGCCTCCCTGCTCCGGGTGCAGCAGGAAGACCATCATACCTGACTAAAGGAGTATTGCTTTGATTCAGTGCTTTGAAAGTGAGATATCTCTCCCTGGCACACATCCGAGGCTTGTAGAACCGCAGCAGCCCTTCGAAGTGCTTGAAGGAAACTCCAGAGGGCCTCTAGAAACAAGGGAACGTTGCCATAAGCAGCCACATCAGGCAGAAGCCCAGAGCACATTTAATTCTCACTCCGGGTTTGTTTTAAGCAGGATTTCTACATTATCATAAGATGCCATTACAACTAAGCCCCCAAAGTACCCTAAGCTATTACTGTAAGGCACCGAGCTTGTCCCAGAGCACAGAAAGCTCTCCTGGTGGTTGGTCCTTCCAGCAAATGCAGAGCTGTTCCCTGTTGCCCTATCATGTGAAAATTGTCCAACCAGACACCCCAAGCAACAGATTTCAACCACTTTTCTCAGGAAATTAGCAGACAGCCTCATACATCCCATTTTAAAGCACTTTTTTTTTTTTAAAGACTTTCAGCAATGTGCCCTAAACATGAACTCATCTACTAGAAATGGGTTAGTTATTTCGGGGCCTTGTTTCTCTTGCTGTACCACAAGTTAAGTAAGAAATCAACCCTTTCCTCCAAGTGCTCTGTCCTCATAAAGAGTTTTTTTGTAGGTGAATTACTTCTGTTTCTGCACCATTGACTCATGCAGTAAACTGTACTGTACCTTCACTTGTGTGACCCACCCCTCCTCTAAGTACTGGTGCTTGAGAAGCAAGTCCTCAAGTGACCCACACTGAGTCAGAGAGAAACCAACGACCACAAGCACTCCAGAACAAATTTCACTCATTTTATCAAGACACTTCCATAATCTCACATGGGGCTGAAACTGAGATTACTTTGTTTTTTTGTTTTTGTTTTTTTTTTTTCTCCAGAAAGAGATATGACAAATTTATACAAAATGAAAAAGCCAGTAGCCCTTGGTACGTCACCAGTAACCCTTGGTGATTATGATTACAGCCAACAGACATAAATCACACCTTCTGGAGCATACTCTTTGAACACTCCTGGTGTTCCTAAAGCACTGCTGACCTCCCCTCCTGCCTCCAGCTCGGGCTGTTGGCAGGCTGCCTGCAGAGCCCTGTACCTGTTTGGTGATCAGCAGACGGTAGGCGTGCTGTATGGCCGTGCGCTTGTGCAGCAGCAGGGACTTAAACTTCTTCTTCTCAATGTCATTGAAAGTGTCAAACACGACAGCGAGGAGCTGCAGAGGGAAGACAGGAGGAAGAAGTCATGTTTGGATCCTTACAATCTGCAGCTCCCTGAGCCAGTGCTTCTCGAACAAGCAGGAACATCCAGTCCAGAGAGGAAGCGGGAGGCATTGCCTGCAGGAGGAATTCTTTTTGGAAGAGGTCAAGATGTTTTTGGCCTCCTAACACTCATTGGTGGTTTTAAGAGATAGTGCTAAACACCTCCTCCATGCCAAGAGAAAACAGTAGCTACAGGTTTGTCAGAATGCCCTGATCTCTTCCTTCTTGGAAAGCAGGTTTTGAGGGCTGCTTTCTGGACTCGCCCTTCCATGGGAGCTTTGGCAAACACATGTCAAAGCTAACCCTTCATCTAGGACAGCAGCAGTGAAAGCCAAGCCTCAAATCCCTCACGCTGGGTTACAGAATTCCTCAACTCCTTTGGCAAGTCCTTTCCCACAACCCACACCCTCCCCTGAGCTGGTCTTGGCCCTGCCCTGGATGCTGCAGGAAGCAGAGCCAGCACAGCAGCCCTGCTCTCACACTGCAGTTATCAGCACTTTTCAAGTCCTGCCATACTTAGTAATTCCATCCCCTTTAAACTGATTTACAAAGTATTTCAGGCAAGCCCACATAATAAAATGCCATTTTATGATCAATAATTAAGACAGAAAAGGACAATAAATTTCATGCAACTGAGTATGTCACTCCAAGCATGATATTAATGTGAGAGAAGTTGAAAGCTACTCACATCATCCTGTTTCTGTGATTTAGTTCAACTCCTTGTGGTTAAACATTAAAAGACTCCTATCTGTAGCAAAGCTGCCATTGCTAGAAGTGTTCTGCCAAAGGGTCTCAGATTATTACAGAGTACTCTTGGGAATGGGGAAGACTCTGCTGGGCAACGAGCTCTAAAGTCAGGCAGAGAGAAGCCAAGTGCTCCACCAGGGGACTCACCAAGTTCATGATGAAGTACAGCTCAATGGAGAGATACACGATGAAGAAGACACAGGACCAGGGGTTCTGGGCGTAAGATGGCATCATCACATCAGGGAAACTGCATCCAAAAAAGACACCAAGTTGAAGCACCAAGCAGCTCATGCTACACAAAGGCAAGAGCACAGGACATGGGGGGGGGGGGGGGTAAACTCACACCCAGAAGAAATATGAAAAGCACATCCCTTGCATATCCCAAAAACCTAATGGGCAAAGGGGTTCTGTAACGTGGCTAGAGGTTGTGCTTTGATACTTGGCAACAACAGCGACACAGCCTTGGTGTGAGGGTGTTACAACCTCAGATTCATTCCATCCTTTGCTAATTTCCTAATCCTCAGAGCTCTCCCTGACAGCAGATCAATATTTACCCACTGCCGTTATCCCCCTCACCTAGCAGACTGCTGAACTGAAGCAGAGGAGTAGGAAGTTACTTCACAACAGCAAAGTGTCAGCTGACAAAAGGAGCACAAACAGAAACTTTCCCTTCTTGGACCAAGGCCTAATAAAGCCTTTTCCTCCCTTATTGCCCTCCCAGAGATGAAGCTGTCTGAGTCGCTTGGAGATAACTCTGCATCTGAGGTCACAGTGTCCTAAACCAAAATGAAATAGCAGTTCTTCCCATGCAGGCTGACTCAGGAAATCTCTCTCCTATGCAGAGGAAAGGGGTCACATTTGGGGACAGAGAATTTCTGCAAATAAACTCTTGCCTCTGCTAGACTTCTTTGGAGACAAAGGGAAAGACTGAGCTAGAAAAGCATGAACTTACTTGGAAGTGGTCAAAAGCACAAAGAGATTCACAAGGCTGTTCTCTACAGTATTGAAGTACTGAAAGAAAAAATTCCCATGATAAAATGCAAGCAGAATTTCACAGTGATAGCTCATTCAAAAAAAAAAACCCAAAACAGACCCAAACCAACTACCCAACCCACCCACCCACTTTTATACAGGTACTTCTACAATTCCCATATGCCTCCTTCAGGAAAAGGCTCCTTTTTAAAAGTCCCTGTGAGACAGCACGTGAAGAGTTAAAACAATTAAAAGCTCATCTACACATTTTTGTAGCAGTTTTTCCCAGCAAGATACTGACTTGGCAGCAGCAGGAACTGGTGGCTGCTAGACTGATAGCCACGGTCAGAGGGGGCTGAGCTTTCACCCAGACACCTTCCTCTCCTGGGGTCAGTGGCAGGTGGCTTGTTGGACTGAATTAAGGAACAACTCTGGGAATGTTCCCTTTGGGACATCCTGTCTTTGAGGAAGTTCTCTGCACCGACTTCCTTCCCAGCAGGGTGTACACCAGGGTAATGCTGCCAAGTCCTCTGACCAGCTTGCATCTGGTGTCCCAGGCCACCACACAGGAATAAGCCATGTCTACACAGCAATGTTTGAGTCTTAAGCTGGTCAAAATGGGACTCAAGATTCAGTTGAAAGAGTTAGGAATACTCACCGGATCCGAGTGGTTAGGAGAAAACAAGTAAAAACCTAGAGAAGTGGCAGAGAAGGGAAAGGAGGAGAGAAGAAAGAGACAAAGAACAGACAAAAATGAAATCAGTTTAATCTCAAGCAGCAGAGTGGTGGGTCTCTGTTCCCTAGGAGGAAGTCACACTAAAAGTAAGCCCTCTCTGACACTACAAAGAGGAGAGCATCTAGAAGGTGATCTCCACACAGATTTGCCAATGTGTATCATTGGCATTTCAGAATCTATCTGTCCTTTCAGAAAACAAACCTTCTTGGGATGGTTTGAGTACAGGACCATAGCAGGGACACCACAGACGTGTACCTGGGGATGTAGCCTGAACTTAAAAGATTGATGAACAGCTGATGGAAACAGGACTTGGTTAAAAGGACCTTTGCCTCAAAATCAAATACTCAGCTTCTAGATTTTTTTGATCTTTAATTCTGCCTTCCAGATGACTGTGGATGTAATGGGATAAATGGCAGATCCTGGCAGGACTCTGAACCTGATCAGCTTTCTATTCATCCAGGCTCTTTATGTTCCTGTTGGGCAACAACTGTTTAAGAACACCACTTCACTTTCCATAAATAAAACTCACCCAGGATAGCAAAAATCACCATGAAGAAAAGCAGGAGGAGAAGAATGTCAATAAATGGTGGGAGGGACTGGAAGATCTGGCGCAGATTTCTGAAAAATAACAAAACATCAGTAAACTAAAGCTTGTGTGCTTCCTCCTCCAAGCTGCCAGGGAGAATTAAAATACAACAGGACATCCTACTTGAGGACTTTCTTTCCACTCCCTCCAAGGATTAGACGTCAAAAGCTGGGTAAATTGAGATGGTTTCCAAGCTACCTATCTATCCTTTGCAGTCAGCTCTCAGGTACTGCAAAAAATACCAAGGTCACCCTGTCAACTTTCCTTCTCCAGACTAAAGACTAGCTCTGTGATTCACTATGCAGTTTACAGGCAAACCTAGAAACCACACAGCCCTGCTCACACGTTGTGTGTACTGTAAGCACATCCAAAGCTACTGCCTGTGACATTGCCCTACGCAGGCAAGACACCAGGTCCGCTTCAGCCGCGATCACAAACGATCGCCGAGACGTGAAATGCCCCAAGAAAGATCCTTGTTTTCCTGAGATGCTGGCAGGACCAGAGTGCTTTTCCCCAGTCCCAGGCACGCCAGCAGAAGAGCTGAGCACTGACCTCCTGACGGCCCCACAGTACCGGCAGTCCACCAAGAAGATGCAGCGCAGAGCTCTGGTTATGCGGACGTGCGAGGTCTGGCGCACCAGCACCACGATGGCCTCTATGAACTGCACAAACAGCACGCAAGTCTGCAAAGAAAGGGGGGCAGTGAGAGGCACAGCTGCTGTCTCCTTCTGGGAAAGGCAAAACTCACACTAACTACCCATTTGTTTGGATGCTTGAAGGGTGGGAAGCAGCTCGGAGAGCTCAGAGACCGCACACGAATCATCTGCGACACGTGGCTAAGTCATCTCTGCTACAGTCCAGGCCAATTTAACCTGGTTCTTTGGTTCCCAAAGATGCTGAAGGAGAGACACTGACAATCAGGCAGACAACTTACCTTCACCATAGTCCTTTTGTGCCTGATAAAGGTTTGGAAGCCCAGCCACCTCATCTTCATCGAGAGTTCAAAGACTACCACGATTAATGCGAACAGCTCCAGGGTTGCATGGACCTGTTACAACACAGCAAAGTTTAAACCAGGGCTTCTGATTATAAACTGGGGCCACATTTCTTGCCCTTTCTTTTTCAGGAAGAAAATGTCACTGCCAACAGCCTGAGCACAGCTCTGTGCCATGCAGGACAACCCAAGGCCACCCTCACAAGCTAACACAGCACTGTTTTTCAAAGGTTCTCAATGATTTTTTGTAATAAAAGCTTTGTGCTTTTATTAAAGCCTGTAGAATTTTCTCCTATTCAGTGCTAGCCCAGAATTTCCTGGAAATCCACATCCCTTTTGGACTTTAATAACACGTAAAAAAAAACTTCTTGATCCATTTAAAACAGAAGGGCAAGACACCAGTAACTTGAGCAAAACCTTCCTAAAAAAAAAGTTTGAGGCTGCAATTGTTTTAGTGAAATGCAGGAAGAAAAGGAAGAAAAGCTGCTGGGCAGAGAGAATTTGCATAAAAAGGGTTTTCTCTTGACACAGGTGTTCTGGACAACCACAGGCAGGGTCCTGGTCAAGCTCTGGAACAGAACTCAGCTTTCGGCAGTGCTGATGAACCCTTCCCTGTTGGAAGACCCAAAATGCACCACAAAGATGATGACACTATTTTCTTACCACCTCAGCTTCAGTCACAGCTCAAAACCCCAGCTGAGTTATGCAGCCCTGACTCATTTGGGGAATGCTTTGAACCCAGGGTTGTCACGGCTGTTCTACAGCCCTGGCATGGTCCTGGGGTACCATTAACAGCTCCAAAAGCAGATGTCAGAGCTCCCACAAGCAACGGGAGCACTGTGCCTGACAGTAGCACCTCATGAAGTGGTTGTGGACTGACAACATTACACACCAGTTTGTGCATCCCTTCTTTCAGCCTGCATTTGGTGAAGGTTAGACATAAAATTTCAAGTCCCTCACACACACACATTAAAACAGGTTCTCAAAACACTGGGAGGAGAGGACAGAAGAAGGTTTAGCAACCTGTCCCAAGCTGAGATCTGTTTGTGTTCTGTGGTGGGGTTGGCTTAACAGCACCAACCCTGACAATGACTTTAAAACCACCCTGTCAAAGCACACAGATTCTCAAGTTATCACAAGAAGAAAGAGAAAACCACACCCTTCTCTTACAGTTAAAAAAGAACTGCACAACTTGATAATAGGAAACAAGTGTCACTTGCATTGCAGGCTAGGCACATCAGATGGAAAAAAACAGTTTTGCTGGTTGACCTCTCTGCCATCAACCAACATATAGAACAAGCCAGATGTTCTTCGTTCCTTCTACTGCTACCTTCTTCTCTGTTTAGGCTTCTCTTTCCTCCTACCCAGCTCTGCCAAGCAAGCAGACTTCTTTGTTTTGCCCCAAAGTACTTACAAAGATGCCAAGACGGAGCATAGGGACGGCTGGTGCCTCGCAGAGGGACAGCAACAGGAGCAGCAGTGCTGTACTCAGCTCCATTAGGTAGAAGAGGTGATTATGTGCAAAGAGGTAGGCAGCAAGTGCTTTGGCATTTTTGGGGTGAGTGAAGAACTTATCGTTATTTTCTCCTTCCTAGGGCAGCAGGA